TCTGATCATCCTTCTATTACGCGCCCTACTGTACTACTGCAGTTGTTACTGAGTTGAACCGCAGAAATGAATCACCAAAATGCAGGCCAACCGCTGGCCCTTTCTGCGCCACTATGTCGCCGTGGTTAGCGCAGCTCTGCTTCGCGCCAGAGAAGATCTCCGGCGCACTGTGGTCTTGTCAAGCTTCCGATTCGTATGATGAGTCGGTGCCAAAAAATGTATTCGATTGAAAGTGCACAATACTTGGATTAAGTTGCAACTCTTGCGAGAACAATACAAAGAATTCGATAGTTCAATGACATCGATCACTAACAATAGGCCTATGGCTATCAAAATATTCGATTATGCAATGGCAAAAAATGAAAATGTGAACAAAACCAAAGAAAGCAAACGAACTTAAAAGAGTCGGTACCGTACTCTATACAAGGGAAACCGATAGTTAAACCATGACACTCAATTTTATTCATAAAAACCAAAATGATACACTCAAATAATATAACACCCAGTTATACCGTACTTAACTATGGGGCCACCCCTGGTCCACATCACCTCAGCCCCACCATGGTTGGTGCTGAGACGCAAACATTGAAAATAATATGCACCTCTAGGTGCACGGAAATTGCACTCCTATCCTTAAAAATCTTACCGGTACATGTTCATATCAACAATACAATAGGCCTACAAACATTTCCTAATAAAATTAGGGGGTTCCAATTGGGTGTGTGTACCGTCTGCACCCCCCCCCCCCCCCCCCCCCCCTGCATCCGCCCCAGATTATGCAGTTATGTATCAACAAAGTGCTAGATCGAGGGCCCTGTGGGGTCGGGGCCCTGCGGACCGTCGCACGAGAGCGCAGGCGTTACGTCACTGTTGTCAACCAATAATTGGACTCTGTATGGAATAGGTGAAAATATCTGCCAAGGCATAGTTCTGACACTGGGTATGGAGGGATAGAGAATTATTCATGATCGATAAAGTATAAAGCGACATTTTGCATTTGCTATACTAGAGTTTTTTCAGCAGCATGCTGCTATCGTGGTTCCGCGTAGTTTGTTTTTTTTTTAAATTATTTTCAAGTTCATTTTGGAGATGAACTTCCGTTTCATGACCTCCTAATTAGCATTAATAATAAACAACCGCAACCCTAATATGGGGTTTCTCCGTCGATTAGTTTCGATTTTCAGGTTTATTTTCGGAAACGTCGTAATAATTGAATAATAATGCATTGAAAACATTAACAATGCTAAATGATGGTAAAAATATTGTTATAACTTCTAATGAATCTTAACCTTTATTCCTCCATAGTCTTACGAATAAAATTAAAACATTGTTAACAGTATCAGAATCGGTGCCAAAATGCAATAGATTAAAAACGCACAATACTTGCGAGAACAATACACAGGATTTCATAGTTCAATGACATTGAACTAACAATATGGTATAGGCCTACTGTATGAAGTTTTAGGTTTTTTTCTTCTGGATTTTAATGTTTTTATTATCTGCATTCGCTAGCTAAAGATGCCTTTTCCTTTGTTTTAATGATGAAAGATAATAAAGTTCATTCGTATTCGTATTCATATCAAATATTCGATTATTCAATGGCAAAAAAAAAAGACAAAAAAAAAAAAAAAAAAGGCAAGCAAACGACTTAAATGTGTCGATTCTCTATTACAAGGGGAACCGAGAGTTAAACCATCAACATTCAATGATGAATATAATTGAATGTTAAACCATCAACATTCAATTATATTCATCAGCAACAAAAATGATATGCCTACAGCAAATTGGACAGCACAAGTCGTAAGATCCATTCAATATTATTTTAAATTCACAATGCTACGGTCGGCAAACTTTTTACTCCTTAGCACCCGGAATTTTTTGCCATAGCTTCCCACGACCCAAGACTTCCAGTTATCATAAAAATGTGCAAAATATGTAATATAGTAACCTACTTCGATACTATCAATTATTTAATTAAAAAAATATTTTGTTTCGATGTTTTCACTGGAACCTTCAGATTTTTACAGCATTTAATTTTAACACTTAAACGATTTTCTGTTTGATTTTTTAAAAACCCAGATGCGATCTGACGACCCTCAAAAATCACTCACGACCCATGAGTTGCCGACCGTAGCACTAATGGATGGAGCTGGTTTAGGCCTACCCCCATGGGCGCAGATTAAACAGGGAGACACGTTCCCCTCACCACATATTTTTAAGGGGGGTTGGTCCCCCACTTTTCGGCGGCAATGTGATTTCAAGATGCCTGAAAATTGTTGAAATGAACTACGTAATGACCCAGGTTGTGATGATGAAAACTTTTTCTAAGAAGGTGTCAATTCCGGCCATCAGAGATAGGCCTACTATTTACCTAAATTTTCGCGCCTCAGCCCCAACCATGGTGGACCAATGGATGGGCTAACGACTTTGAATAGGTAAAGTAAAGTAAATACATCGAAGACAATGCTTTAAAGTTTTATTTTCTATGGAACATCACACCGATTACTTAGATCTCTGATTGCCGAAAATACCGGATAAAAGATCATGAGAAATTTGTTGGCGCTTCATTTTGACTATAATGGCAGTGGCGGATCTAAGAAGATATATTTTCTGAGGCAGGGGGAGGGGGGGGATAAGCTGTCCGACAGGGGGACTTGAGATGTTATGCCCGAGCTGGGAGAAGGTGTTGAAAGTGGGTTCCCCTTCCCAAATGAGATTTCTATAAGAATAGCAATCTCTGGATGGCCGGAAATGGCACTCTCAAACTGTAACAGACGTGTCGGCTTGGTGTGGGCCTCCTATTTATATATTTTTTGTTGTCTCACTGCCCGACGAGCTCTGTCCGACGGGGGAGGGGGCTTGACCTGTCCGGTGGGGGACTTAATCCCTGTTGCCGGCAGGCGCCGCCACTGTATAATGTTGATGATGATGAATTTTACTATCATTTCCGAACAGTATTTACCCAATTTTTCGCTCCTCAGCCCCAACAATTACAAATATAATTAGATCTCTTCCCGAAAATCGCTGATAATATAAAAGATAATGAGAAATTTGTTAGCGCTTCATTTTGACTATATGGGTCATGTGATGACCATGGTGGTACTGAGGTGGGTTGTGTAGGTAAAATAAAGTACATGTAAATACACAAAAGACAGTGTTTTAAAGTTTCATTTTCTATGGTACATCACACGTGACACACATATTAATTAGATAGGCCTATCTATGGTTCCCGAAAGTCGCTGATAAAAAATCATGAGAAATTTTGTTAGCGCTTCATCATTTTGACTATAAGGGTAATGTGATGATAATGAATTTCACTATATAGTATCATTTTCAGCCATCTATCTAGAGGTACTATTTCATCAAATGCTCTCCCGTGGAGCGGGAGTGACGTGTTTTATAGAGGTGGGTAAGGGGAACTTTGTTTTAAAGTTATTTTCTTTGGAAAATCACACAGATTACTTAGATCTCTGCCGAATATATTAGTGTGGGCCTATTTATATAATTTTTATGGTCTGACTGCCCAACCATGGTGGAGCTGAGGTGGGTGTGGAATCAACAGATTCCCCCTTCCCACCCACCTTTCACAGATTGCGGCATTGCCAACACTATAGGAAAAAAACCGGCAGCTTATGACACAACCATACCATAAATGATGCTATCTAAATACTACATTACCAGCAGTACTATACTACTATGTAGGCCTAAATATGTGAATTTCATCATCATTTTGATGGTTTTTATTTGCAGGGAGTGGAAGTGATGTGGTTTATAAAGGGGGGGGGGGATGGGGCGCTCGAAAAGAGCAATTCGGTCGAACTTATTAAATATCGATTGTTCGCGGTTAAGTTAAAAACTAATTAAATACGAATAAAATAGAAACTGATAGGCCCAACTATTATAGTATCACCAGTATTTTATACAGTAAAACCCCTTTATGAGGGGGACACTTTCGGCGCCAAAAAGTGTTATGGTAAAGATAAACCTTGTTGTCATGACCGTGACAAAACAAGGTGATGGAATGTGGTTAAAAAAAGTATCCCATAGGAGGGGTTCTACAAATTATTAGGAAGAATTATCATTTCCTAATGAAAATACTTAATCGTTTTTATAGGAAATTGTTGAAATAAAAAAAGGAAAAAACAAAACAAAACAAGACAAAACAAGAAAACGTAAAACTATAATAATGATGATGATTATGATATTAATGGAATGGTGATGATGATTTGCTTCATTTTTTTGTATCTCGTATTTGTATATAATTTTATCTTTTTTTGTGATTATGTGTTAGTTTTATGTTATACTGTTATTTTGCAACTTCAATGACAACACGGCCTTGTAGAATAACACCCTCTGGGTGAAACAAGCTTTCCGTGTAAAAATAAAGTTTTAATAATAATAATAATAATAATAATAATAATAATAATAATTAAGATGACGATGCAGAACTGTTTGATGATGATGACGATGATGATAATAAGTATCATCAAAATTTAATATAATAATCAATAATAATATTTAACGAAACGAATGATTATAGATTTACAATATTTTATACATAGAAATATGTCAATCTATAGACATTTTATTGTATACCAGTTTATTCGAGTCGACTTGTAAATTCAGGCCAGGCCGATAAACTCCACGATGAGCATATGCATAGAGAAAGAAAACAGATATATATTCATTATCAACAAAATTTCTGCTATATTATGTTACTTATGCAAAAACACTATCAGTTATGATGGCACTATAAAACCATTGAAATTCCCATTTTGATGCGGCTGTGTATTAATAAATTTGGAACACCCCGATGAGGCCCCACTTAACTACTGAATTCGCTATACTTGTGGGTTACTCATGAGAATTCACTGTTGCGTGCTTTTGTTGCTTCTAAAAGGCCTTCAAAAACAGCTAACCTTATCAAATCTAATCCGTTAGAGCAATTCACGAATACTCCGTCATAATAACGTGTGTCTCGACACCGAGGTCATCTCCGGCTTTGCATATCTCAGCAGAGGGAGGAAAACGGAACAGCGTCTGTTCGTCTCTGGCTGGATAATCGAACTCAAGGCTGGGCTAGCCCGCCGCACACGCATACCGACAACAAGCGATCGAGCTGGCTGGATCAGTCAACGTGAGTAGCTAGCGCAAGACACAGTGAAAAACAGAGCGACTTATAAACCTGATGTTTGTTGGCTAATTAGCCAGTATTTTGACTGAAAATGGAGCACATTCAGTCAATGCCTTACAATTCTGCAATCGACAAGGTTTTGCAGAATTATCAGAACGTAGCATTGTCGACTTTACAAGGACCAAAAAATTCGCAACCACCACGTTGGTACGAGCGAGTGAAACTCGAAGAGGAGCATACGATTACGATGAAGGGGAAAGAGGTGCTTTTGAATCAATCCTTGAAAACGGTGCCTGTATTGCCCACATCACTGCCAGGGAACGAACAGATGGAAAAATACGTCGAAGTTATGGATCCTATTCTTCATGGTTCTCCATTCCCAGTTCAGCAAATCCCAGTTCTTACACCGATAGACAATTCGCGAAGTGAAAAATGTGAAACGATATTGGAGAACGAACAGATCGCCTGTTTTATTGTCGGCGGAGAAAAGCGTCTTTGTCTCCCTCAAATTTTGAATAGTGTGCTTAGAGATTATAGCCTGAGACAGATAAACTTAGTTTGTGACGATTTGTACATTTATTGTTCGCGATGTAGTCCAGAGCAGTTAGAGATTTTAAAGGTAACAGGTATTCTTCCATTCAGTGCACCGTCTTGTGGATTGATCACAAAAACCGATGCAGAGCGTCTGTGTAACACTTTATTGTACAGCTCAGAGAAGCACGTCTACTATGGTTTGGAATTAAAGAAACGAAAGTGTCAAAAAGAAAACAGCTTCGGGGTTTATCACGAATGCTTTGGGAAATGTAAGGGAGTATTTTTCCCAGAACTCTACAACCACCCAGACGCACCATCCATTGAATGTGTTGAATGTATGAACATGTACCCACCACAGAAGTTTATCGTCCATTCCCATGGTGGCAAGGAAAATCGCACTTGTCACTGGGGCTTTGATTCTGCTAATTGGCGAAGTTACTTGATGTTGTCCAATTCTGCATTAAATGAGGAAAAATACCAAGATTTACTGGATGAAATGAAAGGACGTTTTGACTACAGGAGCAGATACAAACGAAAACAGGTAGGGTACTGTTTGTAAATGTCGGATATGTACAGAGAAAATACATTGGTATTCATTTGTTTACTAAATACTATATTCCCAAAAACCAAAACAAAACAAATTCATTATCAAGATAAGAAAAAATATTGATTAAGATTTAATGTTCAGTAGGCCTAGGCCTATGTTCTACTGATGTGACAACATGCTGATTTGGACAAAATATGAAATTGGCTTTGAATCCAGAAAGTTTCCTGCATTTCACCGAGTTACACGCCATAATTACATCAGTGGTTTTCCTGTACGTCTTTGTACTCATTATAACCATGCCCCCTATAGGTTGAAAACAGCAATACAAATCCTGAATAAATAAAAACTGTCTACACTCATATACAGTATGTCTAGCCAAAAAAAAAAAAAATTCTGTCATGATAGGACTTACAGCATTCACAATTCTTTCTTTGCAGTTTCATGTTTTTCCCATGTTACAACTTTTTTTTCATATTCTGATTTAACGTTTTTTTAAAGTTCAATGCTTTTCTTATTTTGTGTTGAATGCATTACTTTTAAATGAAGGTTGCTAGTTTCATAGAAATTAATAATTAAAGTACCATCAGCATTTTGTCCAATTTATTTTGATGTGAAAATAGATATATTATAGTCTATCAATTTTGCAGAATATGTGTTCATTAATACAACACCATCTAAATTGGTGCGAGACTTGCGACATAGTACGCAGAATTGCACACAATCTATGACTTCTCGAACCAATTTCACTCAAGGACAAATTCGAGAGTGTGAATGGCTAGGTTCATAATTGCCAGACAAAGGTCTCTGGTGACTGTTGAACTGAAAATTTTTTAAGGATCAGATATCGCTCGCCACGATCATTTCGTGATTGTCACATAGTGGCGCTCCTATCGTATGTCAACGCTTACTTAATCATTTTGTGAAAGTTTCATTTTGGAGAAAGTCCTTTAACAGGAAGTTCTAGAAATCCAAGTCAACCCTGCTGGAGACCACTCGTCTGCTGGGATCCCCTTTTTGTAGGCCACTAGCAAAATTCTCCGTCTGAATCGTGTGACGATCGATGCGTCAAGATGATTTCAATTTTAAAATCACAATTTAAAATGACATCGAACGGATTATAGGAAAGTAGTTGTCTTGGTAATTTGTTAGTATTTAACTTCTTATCACAATCACTGTAACCATGGTGATAACATACGTTAACTTTAGCATTACGAAATTAAGAATTCTTTTTAAAAAATCAAGAAGTTCTTTAACTAGTTGGCCTGCTCCAAGCAAGCCAATTACGACTAACGACAAACAAATTACATTAGTACGTTAAAAGACAAGACATGCATTTATCCAAGAGACTGAATTCTGTGTTAAAGTTTATAGAGGTTAATAATTTCAATACGATAGTTCCAGTTGTCAAAAGTGAAACCGTTTCTGTCTCTGTTACACACAAACATAGTCAATGAATCCATAGGCCCTTGAGGTTAAATGCATTTACAACTTAAATCCATGTCTGGGAGAAGAGTAGAATAGTGTCAACTGATTTCAAGATTCTAGAGAAGTTTTTACATTTTTTCGTTAGCCAGTGATTCAATCTGTCTTGATTGCTGTCTTTAATGAATACAGCGGATACTTAATTTCCCGTGAACGCCATGCCTTCGCTAGCATCTCATCACAGACTCACTTATTTGTAGGAATCCGTCTAGACAAGGGAATGACCTAAACTTAAGTTTATCTGTTAATGTGTGACATTCAGATAACAAAAATTCTTGTATTTAATATCTGAAGATTTTCCAGACTGAAAACTTAATGTAGTACACAGTAAGTTAATAATTTGAAACTTGGCTTTATCAGCCATCATTGCTTTTTAGAGTTTCCTATTAAGGTACAACAAGTAACAGTTTAAGATAAAAATATTTTTACGTGCTTTCTACTCAATAAATAAACACCCTGTTTAAAGATACTGCAGTGCCTACTGTCTGGTAACAATCTGACCGAATCCAGACGTTCAATTAAATCACTGACTTAAATATTCAAAAGAATCAAGTTAGTTAAATCCATAGATTCAAAAATTCATAGCAGATTTGCAGATTTTACTATAAAAATCCTCAATTGATTGTCAGCCAACTTTAAGACTCGATGCATTTTGGCAAAGAAAATATCTAACTACAGTAATGCAAGTTCAAACTACATTAAAATTAGAGTTTTAAAGTTAGGTCTACATGCAGTAGGCCTCAGATGATTTATCACCAATTGGAACCTGACAATTTTGTTATTGGTTTTGTTTTTTTGTACAATAAATGAATAATTTATAATATTTTTGTCTGTATCATTTAGATTGTGATATTTTTTTTTTTTCAAAATTAGTGTCGCATGGTAAAATTCTAATATCAAAATTTGTAACCAATCAAATTTGTAACCAATCAAATATCTGCCTTGTGTAATTAATAATACTGTAGAACAGACATTCACATAATAATTACAATGTTACCTAATTACTGCTGTACTATGATATCGAATCTTGTATAATTGGTATTTGATGTTTGTAGGGGCGTTGTAAATTGCTGCGGGCACTGTCGTCTAGACCCATTGGTTATTGAACTCTAGCATATTGATTTGACCTGTACCATAGACAGTCTCCATATGTCATTTCATTTTATTCATTGATTCGTGATGAAGTGGCGGAGAGCAAATTGTATTAGTGGGTATTGATCGTTACAGTGTACAAACAATGTTTCTCATTGCATATCGAATGGACCAAGCCTACAATCTCACTCGTATGTTTGTGAGCTTGTTGAATTTACATTCTATATTCTACTTTGAATTTGGGTCATGTTCACTGAACCGCGAAACCTATTCACTCAGTTCTGTCTGAGCTTGCAAGGCTTTTGTTGTCCTTTGCTTTTGTGTAGCTCCTTTCAGAGTGCTACATACTTTTATGACGGTATTCAAAGAAAACATAAATTAGACCACAATTTTTGTAGTGCAACTATTTGATAAATTAATCCAAGCACGCGTGTTCTGTTGCTGTATGAACTCCCTACACTACAGCATACAATACAACTACTAATTTTTGGCAGACTGCCAGTTTATCTACCATGGATAAACACTAAAAGTATTTTGCTTACAAAGACATGTACTTAATTTAATATCAGTATATTGATGATACTTAAATTTATTAATTATGTATCAAAGAGGATCAGGCAGAGATAAGCCACAGTTTGACCATTTTCTATAAAACAAAACATGAAAAATAATTAAGAAATGAAAAATATCCCCCAAGATTGATTGTTTTTCTCACTGTTTCTAAGTGTAGCTAACAGCTTCAAATAGGTCCCACGGCTTCATGTTTCTTATTAAAGATGATTTCTGTACATAAGCACAAGAAGATATTAATATCCAAAATTGAACCAAAAAAGTTTATCATAACGCTGTTCCTACTGTAGGCCTACATTATACGTTTTTTACGAACTCCTTTCCAAACTTGGGAATTGGTGTATTGTGCGAATGATTTTGATAAGAAAATGTCCTTGTCACCTTGGCGCCACTTTTTCAATCCCTTCTGCCACTGGTGTAGTTATTTCTGCTTTTCCGTACAACTTTCTTTAAAGTTTGATTGGTTAAGCATGTGTAAAAAAAAAAACGATTGCAAAATGCGAACATTGTTAATTTGCTCATTCATGTTTTTCCAACATGGTTCAGGAATGTGTGAGTGTGAAAACAATCATTGCATGGGAAAGCGGTGGCGAGAGTGCAGGCTTGTTTTCTACTACGTACTTTTAATTAATTAAAACCCAGTCCACCCTCATCGAGCATCCAGTCTAAATTCCTGCATGGAATCTTTCGGAGGATGCCCATACCACGTACAGTACCAATTACTGTTTACAACATATTTTTTCCTGTTTGATATTAGGATTAAACGTCGTCCATATTAAATATTGCACAACAAATGCTTTTAAATAGTGATTGACATTTGTCAACATGTTTGAGATCAATGACATTACGTTGTACTTAACATACTTGCGGTTAAACTGTCTAGGAAATTTTTAAAGGAGGTGGTGGCTGGAATGTAGACTTTTTATTGATTTATTTTACAGGTATTCAAAAAAATTACAGTTTGTAATAATTGCAATGATTTAACTACACTAACAATTATTTATGCTGGCATAAAAAATATTTTACTAAGAAAATTAATCACAAATATTTGAGTACAGTAGTTTCATCTCTAAAATGAATGTAGAACTATTTAATCAATAATAATAAACGAAGCACATTTTAATGTACACTAACTGTAAGCTTTCGTCTATGTTATCAACATGACTTCGTCAGGTTAATGAGCTAGCATCCGTTGTTTTGGAATTGAGTGAACAACGCCCTCACTTTCAAAAAATGAATATAACCATACAAAGCAAATAAAAAGCTTTTCTTATCAGGATTACAATTTTTAGAAACATGGAAGTTTCAAGTTCATCTTCTTTGAATTTTAAGAACCAGAAAGAACGTAAATAATTTTTACAATTACTCAGGTTTGATCTTTTTCAACACACTTTCTAGTCATCTCAGGGACACTAATTTACATTCATCAAATTATCTGCATGAGGAAATACAAATGGTCATTCTTTTCATTATCCTTATATGGGCAATTTCAGAGTATGTTCATTTCATCTGACCACAGACACAGAGAAAACTGTATATTAAGCAACCAATAAAATACTAATAGTCTACTTGTGGTTTTGAATGCAGGAAATGTCAAAATTGCTTCCTTTAATAAGTGGATATGATATTTAGATGTTTATTTACAGTAGACTAAACATTGCGAAAGGTTTGACCAGGATGTTGGATTACACCAACAATAAAAGATACATTGTTACCTGCAGACATGTCTAGACCATGGATTAGCTGTGACATGCGCTTGAACAAATATGCCATTTTGTTGGTTGTTATTGAGGCAGGAGAAACATTTTCAATTCGAATGCACTAGTTTAGAAAGAATCATGATATAAAAA